GTTGTCCTTGATTCAAGCTATCTCTCCCTCTTAATGCTTGCTCTAACGGAGATGTCATCCGAGCCACACTCTCTTTCGGTGAGTTAAACTCTTGTCTGGCTAATTGGCTCTTGTTGCGGTCTTTCTTCATTCTCCATTTGATGAGTCCGAAGTCGAGTGTTGTAGACGTGCGGACGGGATTAAATGGAGCGGCCTATATTTATTTCAATATATGTAAAAGAAATAGATACAAATAAATACTTAATGCAAATGCATGATTTTGAATTGGGTTGGAAACCTTTTCTTTATTTTGTTGCTCGTTAAATCATGACGGAATCCTATCGAGGATAGATTAGTCCGAGCTAGTACTTGCCGAGGGAAAAATTATCCCACGAGATACTTGGGCGATTAAGGAGATATATATGCCCCCAATTTCAATCGTGACTTGATTTTGAAATGATGAAGCCACTCCTATTATAAGCACACGAAGGGTATAACCTCCTTTTTTTTTCGTAGTCTCGACACGAAATTCAAGGGCATATAATCTCCTTCATCATTTCGAGTCCGCTCAAATCTATTCTAAAATCCTCGACCTTATTTCGACTTCTTCGGTCATGATTTAATACGAAGGATAACATTCACTGAAAATTACAAAAATACCCTTGGAATACTAAGGGTAAGTATCGACATCATTTGACAATGATTCGTGTCTTAATTAGGTCAACCCTAATAGACAAGATCTAGCTTTTCTATGGTTGGGCAAAGCTTGACTAGTCCTAAAGATATTTCAAGTTTCTAGACTGTCTAAATTACCGGTGGGGTAATCCAACCTCTAACCTTATACACTAGAGGTAGGGGAAGGTTATTCCATCATTTCGATGTATAGGGTGAATTTCGGTCCAAACGAGAGTCCGGAAGAGCATCGGTAGACTTTCATCATACTCGCCTCCAAATCACTCTATCTAATTCCTATTAGGGTTCGGCTCGGGTCCGAGCTTTTAGAGGTTTCCTTCGTGGTGTGTGCAATAGTTAAAAGAAAAGGCGTACAACCCAATTCAAAAAATAAATGTGCGGACAAAAAATTTAAACATATACACAAACAAATAAACAAAATTAAAAAAAAATAAAATGATAAAAATAAACACAGGAGATAAATTAAAAACTAAACCTATGGCCTAACTCTAGTCCCCAAGTGAAGTCGCCATTCCGTCGCTACCCGATGTCGGACGGGACTCCTCGAAAATATCTAAAATTAGATTGAATATTTATAAGTTTATTTATAAAGTTTGGAGTCGCCACCTAGTATTGAAGGAACTAGGAACCTAAAACGGACACCGGTTCGGAGATTCTATGGTAAGGAGTTGGTTACGCTTTTGGAAATATATCGATTACCCAAAAGCGCCCTTTCTAAATAAAGGTACCACGTCCGGTTTAGCTCTAAATTTATCTCCTAAAATATTTTATTTACATTAAATTATTTTCTGATTCTTAATCTCCCATTTTTTTTAGACTAAGTGAATTTTTATTTTTAAGCGTGGCATCATATTGAAACGATCGTCGGTCCCCTTCGTTGGGTGACACGTCGATTCAAACATCGGATCCACTAAAAGCCTTGACACAACCGACGTGTCGGAGGACATCTTAATTAAAAGGTGATTTTTGATGACGTCGGACCCTATGAAATAGGAGGCTTCGTCGAAATGTTTTTTATATTTTTTTACGGCGTTAGTCCCAATTAGCTAGGAGACTTCGTTAAAAGTTTTAGATATACTTTTTTATTACCTTTTTTATTATTGTTTTTTTATTTTTTTCTCATCAATCTAATAACATACAAAGAAAAAAATTAAAATATTAATCCTAAATTAATGTAGGAAGATGCAACGAGAAATTAAAAAAAAAATTATCAAAGCTAAAAGAGAAAAAAAATACAATTAAAATATTAAAGGAAACTATTTTGGACCCCAAACAATTAAACTTAAAAAAATAATAAAAAAAAAACCATTCCTTTTTTCATCTTTTTTTTCTTCTTTTATATATATTTTTTTATTTTTGGGAGAAGTTTTTTTTTCTTTCTTTTTGGGATAGGCACGAGTCGGACAATTTCTCCTTTCTTTAAAAAAACTAAAATCTTCTCTTGTAACCCTTTTTATATCAACCATGTCCAACACTTTCCCATTTACCCGTAATCATTTTTTTATACCAAAAACCAAAACTCCTACTCACCTTTCCTTTAGCCTCGACTCGCACTATATAAAGACAAAGAAAAAAAAATTGATTTTATACCTTTAACTTCTTCCTTGCTAAACTAATGCCATAGCCACCTGCAACATTAGTAAAACACCGGACCCACATGCTTCAACTTGGAATTCGGTCAGCAAGCATCACGCCATAAGTAGACTCTCCTCCCGTCTAATTACCCCCGGTAAGATCCCCACCTTAGTTTATTACCTGAATTATTCCCTCTTAAACCTAGGCTTTCAAATGAACCCGAAATGAAGAGCACCCAAAAAAAAAAAAAAAACCGTAAAACACGAAACTAAAGATTAAAAATCAAGTCTTTTTGCCCTTGGGTTTCACTTTCTCTCCACCGAATTCCTCTCCCCTCCTTTCTTATTTTTTTCTTCCTCCCCCCCCCCTTTTTTTTTTTTTTTTTTTGCAAATTGGAAATCAAAAATAAGAATTTATAAATTATAATAATACATTTAAAAAAATAAAAAACCGACATTCTAAAATTGTGTTCCAAAATTCATATATTAAAAAAAATTATTAAAAAATAAAATTATATCAAAAAATTAATTTGATGAGAATTTTAATAAGAAACAAATAATTGAAAAAATAAATTTTAAACAATAAGAGTGATATAATCGGATACATATGTTCAAACCAAAATCTAAAAAAATATCATATATATTTTATTATCTTCAAACTGTACAAAAACTAAAAACAATAACAATTTATTTCTATATTTTTCACACCTAATTTCATGATAATATATATATATATATATATATATATATATATATATATATATATATATATATATATATATATGAAGAAAATAACAAAGAAAGAAAAAGAAAATAAAACTGAAGGAATTTTGAAGTTAATGTATTAAAATGAAAACTACAATAAAATTAATTCGATAAATTTTGAATAAATATATATATAAAAAAAATAAAACTTATGAATTTTTTAACCGATTATTAATGTTTTTTTTTTTAAATAATTAAACTACATACTCTTAGCTCTCTCTCTCTCTCTCTCTACACACACACACACACACAAACACACAAAATCAAAATTTACAAATTATAATAATATATGTTAAAAAATAAAATACTCATTTGAAAGGCATAAAAATAATTTATTGTATAAATTATAATAATATATTTTAAAAAATAAAACACATTTAAAAAGCATAAAAATAATTTATTGTATAAGTTATAATAAATACCAATTTCTTTTCTATATTTTTCACATCAAATTTCATGATATATATAAAATGAAGAAAATAAAAAAAGAAAAAAGAAAAAAGAAAAAAGTCGAGTTTGCTAAATTGTATGAAATATTTTGAAGTCAATAGATTAAAATAAAAAGTACAATAAAACTGATTCTATTAAATTTTGAATAAATATATATAAAAAAATAAATAAAACTTATGAACTTTTTTAAGTGATTATTAATTTTTTAAAAAAACATTAAGCCAAACAATCTAAAATGTACTCGTATCTCTCTCATTCTCTCTATAATCAAAATTTATAAATTATAATAATATATTTTAAAAAATAAAACACTAATTTAGAACGCATAAAAATAGTTTATTGTATAAATTATAATAACATATTTTTTTAAAAAAATACCGACGTTCTAAAATTTTATTCAAAGATTCATATATTAAAAAAAATTAAATTCATTAACAAATAAAATTATATCAAAAAATTAATCCGATGATAATTTTAGTAAGAAACAAATATTTAAAGAAATAAATTTTAAACAATAAAAGTAAAATAATCGGATATATATGTTCAAACTAAAATCTTAAAAAATATCAAAATGTTTTTTTATTATTTTCAAATTATACGTAAAACTAAAAAAACTAACGTTTTATTTTTTATATATTTTTACACTTTTAAGATATATATATATATATATATATATATATATAGAGAGAGAGAGAGAGAGAGAGAGAGAGAGGCCGGGCTCGGGCTCATGCTCATGCTCGTGCCTGATTTTTTTTTTTTGAAAAAAGGAAAAAGGCCAAGCGTTGTGTGGCAGGACAAGCCAGCACGCTTGGGCTTGTGAGTGTAGGCCTAGCTGCCTTTCAAAGAAACAAAAAAAATGTTATAGTAATTGAATAGTAAAAATCTCAAATCTTTTAGGTTTTTTTAGTAATTACTTACAAAAAAGAAATTAATTTACTGTATCCCTGAAGCTTGCAGAACTGAAATTTTTTGTTAAATATTCAAGAAACTATCATAATGTAACAAATCAAGTGGTGGAGCATGTGGTTACGTACATGAGAAAAAAATAAAAAAACTGGTCTGCACAAACAGTAGAACATGTGGTTTAATTTCATAAGAAGCAAAAAACCTTATTAGGGTTTGACATGCTGCGAATCCTCTTGAAAGAGGGGATTTGAGGTGAAGTGATGGGTTAAGTCTCACCCGAACTATCTACGTACCGCACATCCACATTTCAACTTTGTGTGCTACATACAACAAATATATATATATATATAAACTGATGATTAATGTGGTAGATTGACATTTTCTTAATTACCTTTCCTACGAATATTGTTACATTCTTAATTAACTACGCTACTCAATCCCCCATAATGTTTAATGTTGAACACTTCTTGTCAGCTTGAGCAGTTGGCAAATTCAAAGTTATACAAGGTCAGCCTTCCCTAACTTTAATTAACGCTTAATGAACATGGAGATTAATACTATAAATACATGCTATCATATACTCCCAACCTCATCAAATCATCTTCTTATCTATCTCTAAAACGTAAAGTAAAAATGTCTTCTTCAACATTCACCTCCTCTCTCTATCTGCTAACTTCCACTCTACTTCTCCAAAATGTTCTTGGAATTGACCCTCTCTACAGTAGTTGTTCAGGCAACGAGAATTCAGCTGCTAATTATGGGTCTTATAAAACAAGCTTGAAAGTTCTCATGGTTTCTTTCTGCCATCTTGCTCCAGCAAATAATAAAGGGTTTGCTCTTGGTTCTTTAGGTCAGAACAACCAAGACCGACCATATGGGCTCGTTTTTTGTATAGGAGATGTCTCACCTGAGATTGCAGAAGCTGTGTTGCTAATGCAACTAGGGAGATCGGCAAGAGCTGCCCAAACAAGAAAGCAGCAATCATACTTTACGATAACTGTCTTTTGAAGTATTAAAACAAGGACTTCTTCGGCAAGATAGATAACGGAAGCAATTTATACATATACAACGAGCACAATGTGAGCAATCTAGTGGTATTTAATCAGAAGACTAATGAATTGTTGGGGCAACTCGCAAACAAGGCTTTTTATTACACAACAAAAATGTACTATGCTACCGAAGAGATAGACCTCGAGGGTATTGAGACAAGAGCCGGCCACAACAAGCAAGGAAGAGATAGACTTTGCTGCGTTTCAGAGATAAACTTTGCTGCAGAGTTTGTCAGTTATAAGAACTCTGCTGTAGAGTTTGTTAATTACTTGTACTCTCTAGTTCTTATCCATTGTATTATCTAGAATTCTAGATATACTATACTTGTACATATATATAAAGGACATGTTAAATTCTTAGTAATACAAGGCTGAAAAATTACTCTTCAAACAGTAGCATAAGATTTAATTTAGTATCAGAGCTACAATAGGCCTAACAGCCAAAGAAACATGTCCTTCCTTTTTTTTTTTTTCCCCCTCTTTTGTCTAGTATTGCTGCGTTTCCTCCCCTTTTCTTTCTTTTCCAGTACTGCTGCTTTACAGCAGCCAAAGAAACACCTCCTTCCTTTTTTTGATACATACATTCCTTCCTTTTTTTTTCTTTTCCAATACTGGTCCAACTGTCGCTCTTCTTTTCTTCCCGTCGACACTAGCTGCTGTCTCCTTCCTCCCAAAAATAATCTCAGCTTACACTAGCCCACTACCACCTTCTAGTCGCAACTACCCCTTTCTAGTTGTTACTGCCTCCTTCCAGTAGCTACTGCCCACTCCTGCCATAAATGCTTCCAGCCACACTAGCACTGTCTACCACCTCCCAACCCCACCAAATGACTTCCTCTAGCAACAACACCTCTCCCACTACCACTGTTGAAACCACTCCAACCATAACTCAACCCACCACTCCAATTAGTCACCTCACGAATTCTCACCACTTCATCTCCTTGAAACTCACCCAAACAAATTACCTACAGTGGCGTATTTAACTCAAGCCCTTTCTCCTTAACCAAGACTTATTTCGGTTTGTTGATTAAACTTTCCCTTGCCCTCCAAGCCACATTATAGCCTCCAATGATGGCCTTCCACAACAAAACTCTGCCCACAAAACATGGACCCAGCAGGACCAACTCCTACTGAGCACTCTTATCTCCTCCCCGTCAATAGAAGTGCTTCATATGGTAATTGATTGCACCACATCTAGTGAAGTTTGATTCACACTTGAAAGAGGCCTTGCGTCTCCATCTAGTACTCGAATAATGTGCTTACACCTAGCCTTGTAGCGGCTGCGGTAGGATCACCATGAATCAGTCTTTACCTTCCTCCATCGTGCCAAATCAATTAGTGATGAACTAACGGTAGCTAGTCGTCATCTTCCCCGATTGACTTTAAGCTCTACATCTCTAAGGCTCTCTCTAATGACTTCAAGGACATTATCACTACTCTCTCTACACGTCCTAAACCGATAACATTCATTGACCTCTATAGCTTTTTGGTCAGTCATGAATTTCTCCACCTTGATTCGGATTCGGTGTCACCGCCATGGCATGGCTTACCGCACACACCTACTACTCCTCTATTACCCATACCCCCTATGGCTCACATCGTAGCTAGGGGCTCGGGTTATCATTCCCAAGGAGATCGTTACATGAACTCCAACGAAACCATGGTAAGCAACTAGAGGTAAGGAACGTGACTTCTCCAACAATAGGTATGGCAACACCTCCTTTCACTCCGAAAATCGTGGCTACTCGGAACAACCAAGAAAGCCACACCAAATGCTAGATTTGCCATGCTTAGAGCCACACGACCGTCCACTTCGACCATCGGCAGCCCCACCATAAATATCACGGCTTCCTCCACCTCATAGCCATGCTCACATACATGGTGTCCCAATATCGATGCCTCACATCATGTGATTCCTAACTTGGCCGACTTAAGCACATATGAACCATACATAGGTAAGGATCAACTCTAAAGTTTTTACCTATTTTGCACATTTGTTCAAGTCATATTAAAACTCTTGCTAAATCTCTTAAATTGCTTGATGTGTTACATGTCCTACAAATAGCTCGACCCTATTATCCGTGAAACACCTTGCTAAAGAAAATGATTTATTTTGGGAAGTTCACCCCTTCATGTTTTGTGTTAAGGACTAGGTACACAAGACCAAACTTCTTTTAGGCGGGAGTGATGCCAATCTCTATTCCCTTCATGCTTTATATCCCATCTCCGAGTCCTAAAGCATTCTTAGCAAAAGTTTTTCATCTAGTTTGGCAATCCGGAATGAGCCACCCTCACCATCGAATACTCAATTTTCTTTTACAAAAGCACTCTTTATCAAAACATTTAAATTTATCGAGTCAACGCTTGTCATGTCTATTAGGAAAATCTAGTCGTCTGTCTTTGCCTTTATCAAACAATCCAAGCACGAGTATTTCAAACTTAATTTTTAATGATGTTTGGGGTCCCTCTCCTACTACTTTCGTTGATGGTTTTAAATACTATGTTATCTTTGTTGATCGATTCTCTAAATATATATGGTTCTACTCCTTGCATAAAAAAATCAGATGTTTACACTCGTTTTCATTCAATATCAAAATCTGGTTGAACATTAGTTTAATTGTAAAATCAAACAAGTCCAAACCGATAGGGGTGGGGAATTTCGAGGACTAAATAAATTCTTTCAAAATATAGGAATCGTCCACCTCATCACGTGCCCTCACACACATGGAAAAAAACGATACTCGTATAGACATGACATCACCATATTATGGAAACGTGCCTCACCCTCTTAGTAGAAGCCCATGTTCCCAAACATTACTAGACATACGCCATTGACATAGCTATTTTCCCGATTAACGAATGCCCTCTCTTATCACCAAATATACATCACCTTTTAAACTCGTGTTTAAGAAAAGCCTAGATTACTCATTTCTAAAAATTTTTGGTTGTCTCTGTTTTTTCATATTTAAGACATTATAACATACATAAAATTCATTTTAGATCCGTATCTTGCATTTTCTTCGGATATAGCCCATCACATATGGGTTATCGTTGTTTTGACAAAGCTAAAAATTGTTTTTACATTGCTCATCATGCCCGGTTTGTTAAGTCAATATTTCCTTTTTCACAAAGTCACTCATCTATCACAAACATAAGTCCATCCACTTGTTTCACTCCTATGGCTCGGTGTCCCACTCCGACCACCTTCATGACTCCAACTCGATCGGTATCACTACATTGGCCTACCGGGTAAACCACTTCAAAACCCACCTCCACAAACCCCCACGGCTAGTCCCTAAACACCACACACCCACATGGATAGATCACTATCCCACCAATCCATGATAGCCCAAACACAAACCCAAACCGCACCTCAACCTCCCATTATCCCCAACTCCAATAGCCCAAGTCATCACGCCTAAAATCCAAACTCGCACCTCCACCATGCCGGTATAAATTTACGATTAGATTTTAGCAAGTATGACTTGACTAACCAGATGTGCAGGTAGTACTACAAATTCATTATCCAATGAAGAGCTGAAAAGAACCCATCTTATGGTTCTACGAAAAATGGGTCAAAAAGCCTCTCTTGTAGTATCTTCTTTAGTAATCCCGGAAAGTCCTACTTGCTATACTAAAGCTAAAAACCATACGACATGGAGAGTGGCTATGGAGTCAAAGATAAATGCCCTCTTGAAAACCGAAACTTGGTCCCTAATCCCCCTATACGGGCCATGAACATTTTAGGGAACAAATGGGTCTTCAAAAAAAAAAAAAAACATGTAGATGGCAACATAGAAAGGTACAAGGCAAGGTTAGTTGCCAAAGGTTTTCACCAATGGGAGGGGATTGATTTTGGTTTCGGTTCGATAGTCAAGCCCGCAAATATCAAAGTTGTTATGTCCCCGGTAGTCTCATATAATTGGCTCATCAAGCAACTCGATGTGCATAATGCATTCATAAATGGCACATTACAGGAAGCGGTTTATATGGCCCAACTAGTGGGTTTTGTTAACTCTTAGTTTCCCGATTACGTCCGCAAGCTCCATCGATCTCTCTATGGTCTTAAACAGTCTCTATGAGCTTTGTACTCTTATCTTTAGGACTTTTTCCTAAATTTCAGCTTTGAGGGGTTTAAAACAGATTATTCTCTATTTATCTATAAAGATGAGGGTTATAGAGCATTTCGCTAGTCTATGTTGACGACATCATCATTAGTAGTGACCATTCGACCTTCTTAGAGACAATAATACATGCTCTAAACTCAAAATTTACAACACGAGACCTTGGTGATATTAGCTTCTTTTTGGGCATAGAGGTAATTAAAACATCGGCAGGTATTGTACTTTCTTAACGTAAATATATACATGATCTTTTTGCTAAATAGAGAATGTTTGACTCGCTGCCACATCACCACACCCATGCCCACCACTTCAAAAATAAAAAAATGAAGATGCTGAATTCTTCTAAGATCGGACTTTGTATAGACGAGCCGTAGGTGTCCTTCAATATGCTACTCTTACTAGATCGGATATTGCGTATGTTGTGAACAATGTGTGTCAATTCATGCACCAACCTACTTCGAACATTTGGTGGTTGTAAAACGCATCTCTCGATACCTAAAGTACACATATACTTAAGGTTTGCACATTCAAAAATCTAACTCGAACTATTGACGAGTTTCTCTAATTCGGATTTAGCGAGGTTCTTTGGATGATAAAAAATCTATAAGGGGGTATGCCGTCTACTTAGGACTCGAATTTAATCCTCCAAGCGAGAAGATAATCGCCCGAAGCTCTACCAAAGCCGAGTACAAAGTTGTCATAGATCTTGTAGTCGAAATCACTTGGGTCACGTCTTTACTAGGTAAGCTTGACCCCACACCACTCACAAGCTAATTATTTGGTGTGATAATATTGGAGCCACTTATTTGGTGGTAAACCCAGTGTTCCATGCAAAAACTAAACATGTGAAAATTGATTTTCATTTCATCGGAGACATGGTTGTAAGGGGGAATTTGCAAGCACGGTTCCTTTCCACACATGGTGAAATTATAGATATTCAAACCAAACCTCTATCAACTACTCGGTTTGAATTCTTGAGGAACAAAATCACCTGTTGGAACCCATCCACAATCGGTTTGTGGGGAGTATTGAGACAAAAGCCGACCACAACAAGCAAGGAAGAGATAAACTTTGCTTGCACTTCAAAGATAAACTCTGCTACGAGTT